AAGAGCTGCAAAAGCCTGCAGGACGTCACGGAGCGCGTTGGATATTGTCCCTGTGTCAAAGAACGCCGTGCACGGTGCTTCTGTTACCAGTCCTGAGCCCTGTGTTCACGCCATTTAGATGAATGTGCAGACTTGGTTGTTGGTTGGTGATGGAAACTGGCTGTTTGACCCCGTTAGCTGAGCACAGGTCGCACCGTGTTAGCCAGCCAGAAGCTGTACTTTTGAAACACATTGTTCTTCATTGCCCTTGTCTGACTGGGGTGTTCCTGTGTTGTTGCAGTATTAGCATCACTACCTCTTGCTATCCCCTTCCTTCGATCTGTTTCCGAGACCCCGTGAGCGACTGGTTTGAAAGCTTGGCTGAGTGTTTACACTGGAACGTTCGGAAGAAGCAAAATAACTTTGCTGTTGAAGAAGAAGAATTTTGAGTGTCTCCATCTGACAAGACTCCTGGGAACGGAACGTGGCAGTAGCTCTCCTGCGTGCTCCGACGTTTAAGTTTTTGGCTAACGTGTGGTCACCACCTCAGGCCACAGAGTGATTCTAGTTTGTATCTGTCTGATGTGCTGATGGGCTGGAAGTTATTGTGCTATCCACCAAGAGTAGCAATGGAAGAAACTAGGCTCTGGTTGGTGTGAATTTCCTTCAAGTGAGCAATCTGGAAATGGATTCTTTCTGATTGGTGTCACAACTGCATCTGTGGCTTTGATTGTAACCCCTGGCTTACCAAGAACCATGGTAGGCCCAGTGTAGATACCGAATAGAAAAGTGGCAGTAGGAAAGTGGCATTAAAATATCCTGTTGAATTTGGCATATTTGTAATTCCATTTAAGACTGCTGTGCATATAAAGGCTCTGAGAAATTTTCTTTTGAAAAAAAAGAAAAGCTCTTCTTTGTTAGCTTAAATACTTCTTGCCCAGAATGGCTCCATATCAGGCATTAAAATACGTTCTTCTTACCTGTGAATATGACACACTGTGATGAACCACTCATGAAGAATATTTTTTATTAATAGATGGAACTAGTAAAAAACCCGCATATTTCTTTGTTATACATACAGATATGTATATATCTTATGCCCATTTGACCAGTGTTTGACCCTTGGCTGTCATCACTGTGTAAATATCCACAAAGAGCCGTAGCATGGACTGAGTTGGTTACTACAGGGATCTCCGTAATTGGAGCTGAGCTGGTTGGTAGCTCTGCGGTTCCTGATGGTGGGAATCATCGATCAGTGGGGTTTCGTACTGTTTTGTGTTTGATTCTCTGGAATAAATGGAAGCGTCGGAGACTATCGAGTTTAAAAAAAAACAAAAACCCTCCAAGTGTTCAAGAAGAATCTGGACTTTGGTCACTACTGTGTTGTCTAGTTCCACGATTGTCTTGAAGAAAAGAATATCCTATATTAGGCCCTGAACGCCCTCAGCTTCTAGAGACCTTCCAGCTCTTGGTGCGGGGAAGGGGGCACTGCAGGGGGAGGCTGAGGAACGAGAGGACGCATTCCCAGCAGAGTAGCAACGGTGCCTTCAGCACACTCAAGATATTCTTAAGTCTCGCATTTACTTTTTTTAAGATGCTTTCAGATGTTTCTAACTTGTCTCTGTACATATTTTATCGTTTGTGCTTTTATGAAAGAAATGAAAAACAAAACCCAACAGAAAAAAATAGTTGGGGGAAAAAAGGGTTTGTCCTGTACTTCAAGTGAAAAATGTCAAACCCAAGTATAATGTTTACATTTATGTTCTTTGTGGTGCAGTCTCATGATCATACTATCCAAATTTTAGCATTTTCAAAGTCTTGCTGCGTTGGTCATTAAAGGAGAGAACATTATCTGTTTAAATTTAAGGCTTTGGCGTAGTATTGTGGAGGAATTAATCTACTGAGGAAGGTGGGATTTCCTTGACGGAGGAGTGAGAAGCTCTGTTGAACTTCTCATGATTGTCTTACGCTGTTCATGTGGTCCGAAGCGTGATGGGAAACGTATCAGTTTCCAAACTCTGCCTCATCTGCTGTCTCCTGAAGGTTTAAATGTCTCTTCCATTTCGGATGCTGCCCTAGTCTGTCTCATTTTATGAAATGCAGGTGAAAGCACTTTTCCATAAAAGAGAAGCAAACTCTTGGTTAACGATACAAATCACAATGAAAGTGTGTTAATACAAATTAATACTCTGTTTGTAAATTTTGTAAAATAGAATATTGCTTTGATTTGGTCTAAACAGAGGAATTTTGTGGTATCTCGGAGCATATCTGAGTGGCTTTTGGGATTTATCTCTCACTTGAATCTCCAGGAATTGTTTTATCACTGTTTTGAAGCTGCTTCCGGGTTTCCTAGGTGGAGTATTCAGTTATTTATTAACTGTTTACTTTTTGAACTATAGAAGTGTCGGACTTTCTGCTTTGAAACTATTTTATTTAAACATGCAATAATTGAGAAAAGGCACAGGGTATAGTGGCTGTATAAATGTAAAGTGGAAAACAAGCAGAGTACTAGGCACGCTGGGAAGTGGAAATCATTTTGCGGAGGTGAGGCGAAATGATTAATGAGCCTTATCTAGTATTTTTTTAAAGATAAAACTATATTCAGCACTTTTTATTTATGCTTTTTATAATAGCGTTAACTATTATCGACTAAATTGCCGAACTTTGATTTTCAGAGTGCGTGGTTCGTGAAAGCTGCAATCCAGATTTACCCAACTACTTGCTCCGCCTTAGGGCTAGATGAGGGGTATTTCTGCCGCGCTGCGGTGGCGTTGCTGCCTTGGGGGCTTTGCCAGTTGGCTTGTACAATTCTTCCCGGTTCGGGTCACGGATCGGATCGCCGACTGACGGGAAGTCGCACGACGACTTCGGGCTTGGCTTTCTCTTCAAAAAACTGCCTTGATTATGATTGTACCAGCTGCTTTATATCAAAACACAGCCCCAGCTGTGTTAATACGTTACGAATTTATCTGGCTGTACGAAGTCCCTTCTCAAGGCCTTTAATCCGCAAACCAGCAACGCACGAGCAGGCGAGGGAGGCTGAAACAGAGAGTTTTGCGTCTTTATCTGCTTAAAGTGTGGGTAACTCTTCTGTTCAAGCCACAGCTGAACCAGAAGAAAAGCTGCGACGCAGACTTGGTTATATTGGCAATAAAAGCTCGTTTTTCTGATGCAGCTTACTCAAAGTAACCTGTGTAAACTGTACTAGAGAAATAGGGTTTTGCCGATTAAGAGCAGCGTTTCTGGTGTGAGGGTTTGTAAATGTCACTACCTACAAATCCTTTCCAGTCTACAAAGGGCCAAAAAGGAAGGTTGAAAATTAATTTGGGTGTGGTTTGTTGTTTTTTTTACAGTTATTCTCTAGTAGAGAGTTTAAGAAGTTATTCACAACTGATGTAGTGTGGAATAAAGCAGTGTACTGACTTTTTGAAAGAGGAGAAATCCTGTTAACAAAAAATACCTGTTAACAAATCCTTGTTAATGCTTTGAAAACTTGTTTTAAATATTGTTGAAAACAAATATTTTTCAATTCTTTCAATAAAATCTTTTTGTAAAGTTCAATTTGTAAAGCAGCCCTTTGACTGTTGAGAACGTAAATTAGGGATACATGATTAGTTGCTTGGGAGGGAAACGTCCAGTCTGGGGTTTTGATACGTTGTCTCATGGGACAGTAGCATTTATTTTCAGAATTACACTTAAAGCTTTCTTGAATGTATGTGTCTGATACCAGTATTTTCTCAAAAGTTTCAAAATAAAAGCTGGATTTGCTGTGCAAGTTGAAACAAATGTGTGCAAGTAGTTGGGCCGCATTAATAATTCATAGTCACATTTTGAGTTGTGGAATGAAGTCACAGCCATCAGCTGCTGCTCTCGTGCTCTCTCCTGACGCTGTCAGCTCTGGGCAGTCCCACCAGCCACAGCTGAGCTCTTCGCGCCTCCACTGTCTACAAAGTAGGTTTGTTTCAGGCTTGGAGGATGAGAATAGTTATTACAGAAATTTTGAGATCAGCCTCATAAATTTCCCTAATAAGCCACAGAAAAACCTATTTTAACCACTTTTTGCAGCGCTTGGGTACCTGCAGGTTGAAGATGTGCCTGAAGAGGACTGTGATGGCATATTCGCAGCACCTGTGGATCACCGTTCCAGCCTCTTGTGTGCTCCGTTCGGAAACAGAACTCTTGCTGTTGGTATGAGAAACCATCCACACGCCAACTGTGTTTATACTTTATTAAAAAATAGACAGCCAGTAGCTAAAGGCTCCAGTCGATAAAATACCAAACTTTTAAATTACAGTATTAAAGGCTTAGTTTAACAGTAGCTCTGGTGGTGGAGTGGCACATCAGTTAGGTACACTGCAGGAAGGCAGGGGATGACATGGTGTAGTTTTCATGTGTAGCTGGGAATTAAAAAAACTGTAAAAAAATATATAGTCCGAAGTCAGAGGAGGTACAAGAGCTCTGGCCCTTCTGCTGGGTTAAGCCATCCCACAGCCGTGGTGGAGCTCAGGGAAAACAACTCTGGGGCTTGACCTCTGCTCAGCCACAGAGCTGCTGAGTTGAGAAGCGATGGCAGGGCAATCCGTTTCTAGGCTCAGGGGTGTAGGATGGGTGTGCAAATTATTTTCATTCTGTTAGTGTGTATCCAGAAAAAGGGCATTTCTGTTAACAACGTCCTCTGCTGACATGCGTGTTGTGAACCTCCCGCAGTCACAAAGCAACACCGGGGAAACGAGGAGTGAAAGATGCACCATCGTGTCAGCAAAACTCAGTGAACGGAGGGGATTACTGTTAATTTCCCGAGCATGCTTTGCTTGGTTTAAAACTAAGTTACCGGCTGCACTGCTATAGTTCCCTAGCACAACACAAACCAAGAAATGTGTAGACATTTGTCCGAGCAACTTCCTCTACCTCTGTGAACCTGATCCATTATCTTACATCCCGAGTGCAAGACCTTGATCAGAACTTCCCAGGCTACGATTTCACTCTGTAAGAGCTGCAGATAGAACACGGAGGGGGCTTGCTCAGGAGTCGATCCTTCCATAGGAAGAAAACACTGTGGGAAGAAAGGAAGATCAGTGAGCACCGACGCCGAGCAGCAGTTACATCCCTCCCATAAAAGGAGTTTGGATAGTTTAAGATTAGTGGCTCTTAGGTCCCTTTATTGTGTCTTTCTTAACTATCATAAGGCAGTTACACACCACAATAAGGAAGAAAAATTACATCTCTCTTGTCGAGAGGGGATTTTCCCACGCAGGTCTGTTTTTCTGGATAGCACCAGTTCTTGCATAGGCCGGAAGCAACTTTGACTAATGTCAGGGAGAAACCACATACGGTCCATCCCCACTTCTGAACCTTGCGAGGCCAGGAAATTCTGAGGCTGCAGGAGTGCTTGATGTTACTAAGGATCTACCTTTTGCTGTGACTCTCCCTTACTATTTTTCTGGCTCCACAAACTCTTCAGTTAAATGTGACTGTGATACAACAGGCTACAACCTTCATAGTTAACTCTTTCAGTACTTACTTCTTTCTCTCAGCCCTTGCCCAAAGCTGCGGTAGACGTGAATCAATGCCCAAAACAAAACGGATTTTATTGCAACAGAAATGCAAGAGCCGGTAATGAAAGCAGCTTCCAGAGTGTAAGAATTCCCTTTGCCCCACTCCTTTATCACCTACAGGAAAATGGAGACATAAAACAATCAATACCTTGTGCCACAAAACCCTGAAGCCGTAAAATTCAATCAAGCTCTAAATTTCTGAAAGAAAGTAATTGGGAAGGGGGAAGAAAAAAACCTAGTTGCTTTTGAACTGTCTTAGTATTGCATTACATGTCCATGCCCTCATTTGCTGGTCACTCTTGTGCAAAAATTGAAGGAATTCTAGTTATTTTCAAGTTCTGTTCCTCTCTTGTCAGAAGCCACCACCTGTACTTTTCTTCCTGACTGCAGTCCAAGTACAGCCCCCAGAGACAGCGTGTGGTCCTCCCGTGCTCTGCCAGATCAAACAGGCCTGTGAACAGTCGGGAGAGCTTGGCTGGACCGTAAACCTTGATAAATAGAACCCCAAGGACTTGGATGACTGCAGCCGCTGGGCTCTATCAATATTTGGAGACTCTTTACGTGAAGTAGGAGAAATGCTGGCTCCTATCAGCATTCGAGCCCTTCCCATGGTGAACAATCTGCTTTGCCCTTGCCCTTCTTCCTTCCCTCCTTCCGCACGCATGCCGTGGGAGGTGGCGGGCTGCGCCAGCGATAAGTGCTTTGTCACTGTTACAGTGCCAAAAAATGCCTAAGGCTGGCATCTGGGCTTGCACTGTCTCTTGTTTTGGCTACATCAGCTGGGGGTGGTGCCTAAGAAATTCTTTAAAATATAATTACCTGAGGCCCTGCAGATGGCCAAATGCTCTGGCACCACTTGAGACTTGTGGTGAAGGAGGGGAGGCATTTTTGAGGGCTACATGTCTTGTACTGGAAGATTTTGCTGTATCTTTCCATAATCATTGTGGACACTTTGCCAGCTGCATACACCGCCAGGGCCTCTCCCTCTAACTAATCAGTTCAAGAGCAGCTTGACATGGTTCCTGCCTTCCGAAGTTGATCCTGAAGAGACAGGATGTGCCTCCTGCTCTCACTGATTCTAACAGGAGCTGCAACCAAGGGATATCCTCAAGAACGAGGCACCACATTTTGGGCTAATGGATCCAGTAATGAAGAGGAGCCTCCAGCCTTGCTCCCCATTATTGAGCAAGTAAGTTTGATAATTACCGTGTAAAGCAGGTAGATGAGATAAGCTACTTCAGGTATGTTCTGACTCAGAAAAATCCACACTAGAGGTTTCAGTTCTTTTAAAATCTGTAAAATAAGATATATACAGCTTCATAACTCATTGCTATGTACTCTGTAAAGACTAGATACAGTTGATTTTTCAACAGCATTTCAAGCGTTGGTGTAGCTGAGTTCTCAGCTGTAACTGTGCTCTCCACTTGCCTTTTCTACCTTTTGGTTTTTTAGAGGGAAATACAGTCTATTTTCAACGGAGCTGGGCCTGAAGTGATGTTGGTGAAATCAGAACTGGGTATTTCAGGGGCAGTTGTGTGTGATTCGAGCCATCTCGGCATCCTTTTCAGCTCTGCCTGCTCACACTTACAGTACAGCTCCCAGCTAGCTTAAATGGAGAAGCAGCCGGCTCTTCTGAGGTGTATCTAAGCTGATGTACTTTTTCTTTAGGCACGCTCAGATTTTTCTCTAACAAGTTAATGTTTTTATAGCTAACGGACTGGAAGTGCTCCGTGACTTTTTTCTCCACCTTTGTTTCTACTACAGAGAAGTGAAGTTACTGAGAACTAAGAAGTGGGAGATGCAAGAGGATTTAACTGCCAGAAAAACCTTGTTTCACAATTAACCTTGGGGCTTGGGTAAGAAGAAGCGATGGACTGCCTTCCAACAGACAGCAACTTCCAGCAGCCCTCAACTGGAAGGGCAGGTCTGAGCAAATGACAGAAAAACAGCTGAGTCACTGGGAGTGAGAGCATCGACTGCGTCAGTGCTGTGGTAAAAACTGATGCATCTGAGCAAGCACAGGTTCCCCTCCAACCCAATACTGGTCAACAGATGAACCTCCAAAAGCATCAAGGGAACTGCCCCTCCCCTAAGGGAGTTTGCCTGTTGTCTGCCACCTCTGCTATCGTCTCTGGTTAGTGCTCCTCTTAGGATAAGATCAAAAGGGAAAGGAAAACAGGCTGAGAAACAAGAGGGAAGGGAAAGTAATTAATGGGAGGAAAGAGGGAAAACAATCAAGACAGGAAAAATAAATCCACATCTAAATAGATGAAAAATAATTAATCATTTTCTTTATGAAATGGCATGTGTTACCTACCCAGAAATAAGGGAGCATCAGATTTAATTACGCTTTCAGGTGCTGCAGTCACCATTTTAGCAAGGAAAGCAATCTGAACACTTGAAGGGCTGCATTTCAGGTGTCAGGAATTTGCCTGAATGGCTAAAGCAAACATGCAAGGAGACTAAAAGCCAGCAAACTCAAAACCCCCTAAACTCCTTCCTGGTAATGAAGGCCTTGCATATCTGATGTACTTTGGCCCTGATTCTGCAGTCATTCTTGGCACAGAGCTCACGGAATTTCAGAGGAAATTCCGTCTGACTGGCATGAAAAACTACTTTTCAAGTTCACAGATCCTTATGTTAACCTGAAAACTGTCACTCACCTCTAAAGAAGCTGCCCCAATAAAGAACCACTCACATTTTTGGTGTGATTTCCTAAGGATTAAGAGCTACACAGTGCCACTCCATCTCTATATCCATCTTTGTGATAACTTGGAGGACTTTTGCCCGTTTGTCCTAACCTTGTCAGAGAGGCAGAAATATTGAAGATACTGTGATCCTATCGGTTTTGTTAAAGTAGGTGATCAGGCACTGAGAATAAAACGTCCCTCAGAAAGGAACAGTGATAGTGTGATGTTGTTTCATCCTGTCTGCTCAGCTGGGAGACACAGATTTATAAGACACTCAACTTCAGTACCGTTGGTGCTCTTGTTTTCTGCTGGGATCCATTGTGGTTCCCTTTCACTGAGCAGGATTACATAGAACGGGATGGCTGTGACTTCCCAGCCTGTGGCAATTGCTCAGGGTGTGAACTCGTAGTCTCAGAAGCTGACTATCCTTGCTGGTGTCACTGTTAGCACAACACTTACTCCGACGATGCTGATGGTCACCTTCAGGCAGGCCCAGAGAACCCCTGTTGCGGCGATGATGTTATGTAGAAGGGTGATCTCATGCAGGCTTATCAGCAGAATACACAAGCAGAGCTGAAAGAGAAGGTAAAATTATTAGCTTGAGGCCATACAGCCCTCCAAAAAATATTTGACACAAACTCCCAGCAACAGCAAGATGGGCACAGGTCTTAAGGCTGATTTTTTTTCCTCAGAAACTGGTAGATGGTACGAAATGGGACCCAAGGACAGACATACTTCCTTGTGTGCCATATTAGGAACAACAAAGAACCGGGAAGGCAGTAACCAGAGCTCCAGATAAAGCATAAGATTTTACAGGGTAATACAGTAATAAAGTAAGAATGAAGGGACCTCTTCCTGAACAGATTTCAGGTTCACTTCACTTATCTCTAACGGCAGGCTGCTTTCTCCCCCTGCCCGCCCTGCTGGGTGAGGCTCCCCTCTCCCATCCCCGGATCATTTCTCCAAAGCAGGACACAGCTAGGATAGCCGGACAGCAAGAGGCTGTAGGCTGAGACGTTGTGCGATGGTAACATTTCGTATTTCAGGGTTGGAGCTTCTGGATGCAATTGTTTTTATGGACGTATTTCCCCAAAATAAGTTTCAGTTCTCCTTTTGAGCAGGACAATGATAAAATACGTGTCGATTCATTTTTATGGACTTTAACAAAGCTTTCCTATAGCAAATACCTAGAAAGATGACCATTATTAAGCTAACTCTATCTACAATGTAAGATACAGGGAGGATTGCTCTAGGAAGGTGATAGTTCAGCTCAGCTGGACTAAGATGCTCTCAACAGAAGACAACGGAAAGCAGGGGGAGAGAGTTCTGTACCTGTGCCTGAAGATCGAAGGTCAACATGGAAAAACAGAGGTTCAGCATGAAGTATTGTGACTGTAGGCTTTCGAGAGCACCACCCACTCGGAAGGCCATCATGCTTTGACTCTGGATGAGGATGATGGCACAGATCACATCGAAGGAGCCAACCAAGAGGATGAGAATGAAGCGCGCCTGATGGGAGAGAGAAATCGTGAGGTGACTGGCCATGCCAAAACCGGGACAGCCTTTAACCTTAAATCTTCTGACTGGAAAGAAAACAGTAAGGAGAATCAGGCTGCCTGTTAAAAGCATTTTAATAGACAACAATTAATGATGTTTGCCAGTCCTTCATAATTACATTGATATGGGAATATTTATACTCGTATGCCTTACTCTGGCTCAGAAATTTTACTCAGGAAGCAGAAGTTACAGTAATCCAAGTTATTTTTTTTAGTAGTGAATAAAAGAATCCTCAATAGTACATTTTCCACCCTTTAAGGTTCTAGTTTAATATATAAACTGATCACTGGGATGCATACCTAAACGTAATTAGCATCTCTCGTGTCTGTTCCTTATTGACCCTGCTGTAGGTCATTAACTGAATGTACAGTCAATATGTAAATTGAATAGGCAAATTGTGCTTTGCTGCATCTTCCTAGCTTGGTTGCTACCTCTTCTATCAAAGAATAACTTTTGGATGACTTCAGAAAAACAAACCTCCTTCTCACGTTTGTGATAAATGTGCACCCACAAAAGGGAAGGACTTCTCAGAAGGACGGCAAGTGGAAGTTTAACTACAAATCCTAGTAACGCAGAGAACGCAGTCCTTGTGTTAAACGTTACGAAATGCAAACAAGATGTGGAATGGCAGGACCTCCCCCAGCACACTGTATCTTTGTGTTTCCTTGCAGCAGGATACCTTAACTCTCATAAAACCAGATTTCAGGGTGAAATGAAGGATAACTTCTGCACTAATCCTCTGTGAGTAAATTGATATTTGCGTTACTTGGAGATACTGCCATACAGAAACCCATAAAATAGCCCAGAGAAAGAGATTTGCAGCTGTGGAGGTGCACGTTTTGTTACTCAATGGTAGGAATGATCCAGCCTGATTTTTCTCTAGTATCAGTGCCCTTATTGCAGATGTCTTGCCCTTCTAAGACTTTAAAATCCAAGATGTGGAGAAGAGAAAAGTTAATTATAAAAGCAGGAGACTAACCAAGAGCTTTGGCTTTTGCTCCGCAGAGAGAACTGTGAAGTTGATAACGGAACGAAACATCACTAGCAAGATGGAAAGAACAAAGACGATGAGCTCCTGGCGATTCTCCTGCAGGATCCCTCTGGTGACGTAGTACACACAGAACACTGGGGAGGAGAAGGAAAGGTCAGTTACTGGGCGTTCTGTTTTTATAAAATACATCAAGCCCCGCCACTCTTAACACCACAGTTAGCTGGCACTATTGAACTCTTACACTGTTTTGACAAAGCTTAAAGGAAAAGGCTTCCCTTTCATAAAACCAGGAATCAGCACTTTGGTCTGACACAGGATGCTCCTGCAAACACTGGTTAATTTTTAGCAGAGTTCTTTTTCCAGAGGGCTATTTCCTGGATTCCGCACATCAGATGATCTAGTTTTGCTTGGCTGGGACATGGCGATAAAGTGTTGTAGTTTGGAAAGTAATATTCAGCCTCCCTAAAGAACTTCGCTTTTCACTTTTATTAATGGTGATTGAGAAAACTGAAAATGAATGGCAAATCACAATTTTTTGCATGCTTATGACCTCAGGAAGACCTGAAAGATTTCAGGCAGTACGTCCTTGTTTTGCAAATTCAGCTGCTAAAGCAGAAGTAATCTGTACAAATAATTTAAAAACAAACTTTTTTCTTTTTCGCAGAGATATGCATGTTTCTGAAATAAGCAACATACCCTTGTGAATGTTTTTCAACAAATTAAATCCCAGACCCTCTTTAAGGTAAGTACGTCTAGTGATAAATCCAAGAGACTGTTACAGCCAGGGCATCTATTTCTCTTTAAAGAACTATTATCAGTTCTGTCAGTCTCTGCCTACTCTGCAGAAAACATAGTTTGGGCATTTTTACAGAGATTAGCTTACACATCTTAAAATCTCAAGATAAGCCAATCACAGTTTTAACATTTTCCTTGAGTGATGTTCTCTTTACTGACTAATATGCTTAAACAACAGCTCTTGCTTACAGTAAACCTTTGCAATCTGAACTAATGTGTTAAAAATACACTTGTTTTTCTGGGTTTGAACCAGAGGTTTGTGCACTTCATCCTGTGTGTTGCAGCAAAGAATACAAATTGGTATCAACAGCAACGAGGAGGGGGTAAAATCAGATTAGCAAGCGTGCTTTCAACTTCCCCATTTATAACATCATGTGATTCCCTTGATTTGTTATGAAAGTTCTTCATTTTTCTCTGAAGCCCAAAACAGTGGTTGCTAACAAAAACAGTGTGACAGGTCGGAGGCATCAACGGTCTGTTCAAACGCTGCGATTTTTGTTGGTGTGCCGAGTCCTGTGTGAAAAGCTGCTAATCAAACCAGAGTTTTGGACTGAGGGTATTGTTTGCTTGTGTCTAATTATAGAACCTGGAACAAATCTATTGTCTTTGTTCCCTCTGGGTGAAAAAACGAAAGCTGGAAAGCAACGACTGCTTATAATTGCCGTGTCTTCCTCATGCACAAGGTGTTACACCCACAGAGTCTGTTCTTTTCTACACCGGTTTGGCCAGCGAGCCAACAGCCAAGAGCTGTTAAAGCCACTGAAGAGCACTTCCTAAACCGCTTTTTGTTTATTTTCATGTTAAGTTTCCTTTTTCTTTAATGGACGCAGGAATATGAATGTAAGTTTCTACTGAAGCTCCAATTGGAAATATCCAAGGAAGTCTGGATTTTGCTTCTAGGACAGAAATCATTAGACACACAAAAAGAGCACTTTTAGAAGGAAAAACGTCCTTATTTTCTTTTATTAAAATACTTGCAGTGAAGCAACACCCTTGCAGGATCTTAACACAGAGAAATGACTTAATACTTTCTTCTTTCAGATAAAACTGTGTATGTTTGATTTCTACTACAGGGAAAAGGAACGAGAGCAAAAGCATCCAGCTTCCTAGTGCTGAACTAGCAGAAAATTCCATTGGTAATATTATCAGGAATGAAGTAAAAAACTTCAGTTGGCACTTAATTACTACCTTGGGAAACAACATCGTTGTTTTAAAGGACGAACCGTATGTTCCTTACCAACTCCAACTAACTGAATGAGAGAAACGGTGAAATCTTCCTCGGTCTGTCGGACGAGTGTCTCTATGGTTAGCCCTATGACACTTAGCAGAGACAAAATAGTGACACAGAAGTAGATCTTCACAGGAAACGAGAGCTCTGAGCAAGGTTTTATCTGTAAGGCAAGAAAACTTTTCAACACGTAATGCAGTACAAACTAGTTTCTGTTCCCAGGCAGTGCACTGAGGCTGGGTGACCCGAGTGCGGGGTTTTCCTTGGAAAAAGCAAGAGATGGGTGGAACTGAAGCTCCGGAACCGCTGATGAAGGGAGAAATCTTAACTAATCTCAGCCTCCAGTTTTCAGGTTTATACCTAAGGGCTGCCTTTTGCTTTTCCCAGGGCCTCCCTGGCGCCACGGGGTCACCGTTTCACCTGAGAACTTCACGGCTGGGCGGGCAACTTGCTCCCGGTAGCCCCGAACCCCGAAAATCCTGAGGCGGGGCTGCCGCGGCCCAGGGGCCCGGCGGGGCTGGGAGCGAGCGGCCTCAGCTCTTTCTGCTCGTCCCAGGCACGTGAAATCCTGGGGACGGAGAAAAGCCGCTTCCGCGGCCCTCGGGGCACCG